AGGTCCAAGAGATTAATTTTTGTGGTGATAAATATTGTCACTTATGTAGTATGCCATTATATGTATTAAATCTCTAAATATTCCTTTAAGGTACAATACTGCATGCTGCCTTTTACTGTGAAGCCATGCAAGGTCTGTGGGATAATAGTGTAAATATTTGCATTTTATTTTAAGTATGTCAATTTTACATTACAATTTCTTACATTCTCGAAGAATTCCATCAGATATATTCGTGTTTCTCCTAGATATTTGCTGAAACAGACGCTGTGCCAATTTGAATTAGATCATCTGCCTGTTGTACCTACACGATTACCAATTACTGCATTATTCAAATTAAGCTTAAAATAATGCAAAGCGGCGAAGATAAGGGTCTCTCTGTTGCAATTATCACAACAGGTTTTAAGGATTGCTCTCCTTGCTGGTGTCAGTGGGAGTTTATGAGATTTCACATGCCGTTATTAGCGACTGTAGATACACAAATGTGATGTAGCAGTGGCACACAACGAGCCAGCGGAGTAATGGAGTACGAGTGTTTTGGCTGACCTTATTAGGTTATTTGTGTTGGAACAGACAGTGAATGATGGGAGCAACAGCGCCCCCCTCGAAATGATTCGGGTGTGTGAGAGAGGGGAAAAAGAGAGACTGTCCAGAGCACAGATGAGGGCATCCTGTCCGGAGGAACATATTGCTTCACCAATTCCCTCTTCATCCTCATCATCATAATCATCTGAAAGAATAAGACAAAAAAGCACAAATTCAATGTCAAGCTGGTTTTGGCTGTGTGTGTGCATTAGGTGATGATTTTTTTCATTTTACATTTGTCTTCTCAGAGGACATTTCTTGCCAAAACTTAGGGCTTCAGACAATGTTGCCAGTAGTAAACAAGATGTTTTATTCAGTTGGAAAAGAAGTCTATTATGCAGAGGTGGGGAATTATTTTTAATACATTTTTTGAATAATTAATCTGTAACGCTTAGCTGTGCCTGATGTGAACATCCACTGAAGTCTGTGTGGGGATAATTAACAAATTCTATCGGCTTTATCGCCAGTACATGCTGTATGTAGTGCTGCACGTCTCGGTGCTTGTGTTAAAGAAAGGGCATTTTGTCATTCTTTCATTTCTGTTTTTCTTCCCTTCATCGGCAGTCCCGCCACGCACACTCGCAGCCCAGGGCTATACCACAGATTATTTACTTTAAAAAAAAAACGGCGTCGACCACAGCAAAAACCCAGAAGCACTGTAATATATAGCCTACTATTCTTCAATCCAACTGACTTCTGCTTCTTTCCATCTGTCTGCCTATATGACACAAACAGACCATGTGTTTGCCTAAACATACAGAATATAGGTAAAAAACACGTTTGTGACCCTTATCAGATGATTGATTGAGTGTATACAGTTGAGTCACTAATGCATATTTCGTTTGGATCTAGATTCTACTGATGCTGCTACACTAAAGCCCCTGTTTTCTGCACTTGTTTGTCTAGCTGTCCTACAGCAGAGGAACAGTTCATCTGTTGTCTGTCTGCTTCAGTGAGGTAACCGCAGATAGTTAACAGGCTGTTATGGAGCGAGGGCACACTGCTATAATACACACGTGTGCGTGTATGTGCCTGTGTGAGTGTGCATGACGATACAGTTACATGCATTGTCTGAAAACCTGAGAAGTTACACATACGCATATGCAAATGTGGAAAAGTGAGGTGAAGATTTTTATTTAACGAATTGGATCGATCAGTGAGCTATTTCTGCTTGAATTGATCTAACCTATGGTATGCAGGTTGATTCAGTCATACCGAATAAGATTTTTGACAATACCAATTAACATTCGCCATTACCACTTGAAGCATTCTTTTAAGTTATATTACACTTTTTACACTATAAATAGATTTTAAAAATGGATAGATACAGAGAGGATGGATGAATGGATGGAGAATGTGGGTGGATGGACAGATGATAAATGGATGTATAGCCTTTATGGATGGCTGGATGGATAGATAGATGGATGGATGGGTAGATAAGTGGATGGATGGATGGATGGATGGACAGATGATAAATGGGTGGATGAACAGATAGAATATGGATGGATGGATAGAAGATAGATGATAAATGAACTAATAGGGTATACAGATGTGTAGATGGATAGATATGCAGAGACAGATGGATGGGTGGATAGATGACAAATGGTTGGATGAATGGATAGACAGAATATGGATAGATGATGGGATAGATAGAAGATATATGATAAATGTATTGATAGAGTATAGATAGATAGACGGACAGATGGATAAGTGGATAGATATACAGAGAGGATGGATGGATGGGCAGACAATAGACATGGATGGATGGATGGATGGGCAGACGGACAGATGATAGACGGGATGGATGGATGGATGGGTGGGTGGGCAGATGGACAGATGATAGACGGGATGGATGGATGGATGGATGGGTGGGCAGATGGACAGATGATAGACGGGATGGATGGGCAGACGGACACACGATAGACGGGATGGATGGATGGATGCATGCATTGACAGATAGAAAGATAGATAGATAGATAGATAGATAGATAGATAGATAGATAGATAGATAGATAGATAGATGAACGAATGGACAGATGGATGGATAGATAGAGTACAGAGAGATGGATGAGTGGATAGATAAATATCTATATATAACTATAACTGTACCAGTCCCTTAAAACATGATTCTGGATCAGATTTTTGAGCCAAGTGAATTTTGAATGCAGCTTCCAAAAGACAAAAAATAGCCAAATAATATTTTCTATATTTGATACAATCACACCAGCGTGATTAAATCGTTCAGCGCGTCATATTATCAGCTGCTAAATTCAAATCTGCGTTCGCTGCCTGGCGCTGAGCCAGAGACAGACGCGTTTTTACAGCACTGCGCATTATAACCAATCACACACGATGCTGTTGAGCTTATGAATGCAATGACCAATCAGAGGTGTTCCGATGAGTCATCGCTAAAATGCAGTATTTTGTTCACTCGCTCGCTGACTGAAAACCTCTTTCTGGCGAATTCTGTCATTAGAAACAACAAAGTGCAGATGTGTGTATAAATAAGTAAGATACTCATTTCACAGTGTAAACGGCTTCAGTGAATTTAATGGGAGATTTTGAGAGTACTTGAACTCTAGGCTGTCAGTGAAAATGTTCTTTGATAATGTAAATGTTCTTTGCTCTCTTTCTGTACAATGAAAGTGTTATGATCCGTAGCCTAACTTACAATGTTTTTATTCACATTCACTTTCAATGTTAAATTCACATTAAATATAAAGTCAGTCGTATTAAAACTATTTATGGCATGACACCCATATCTGTTAATTACGTAAACAGACAGGTTTTTATGCATAGTTAATATAGACTACATTATTAGGCTACTTTGACCATCGGCCACTATTGATGAACTAACATAGGTGAGAATCGAGATATTTCATGATATAGTTAATGCGTTTGGGAATGTTTCGAATAAAAACGAAAAAATAAATAAAACTTAAGAACATAAGTGCTATTGTGGCTGCTGCTGCTGTGTGTCGCATGATGACCCCCACCCCCCACTCGTGCCCCCTCAAAAATAATGAGTGCATGACGCCCCTGAGTGCGGTATTTATGCATGTGTTCCGGTCACTGCAGCTCATTCTGCACCTGACATTGGCGCTGGACCCACTTCACGAGTGGGCGGAATTGGAGGAGTGGTCGCTCGCTCCATATATGGTCCCACTGGGTTTCCTGTCTGGACCCTCACACACTCCCACCACCATAAACACTCTTTAATCCGTCGTATCTTTCTTATCTCGATGAAGAGAGAGAGAGAGAGAGAGAGAGAGAGAGAGAGAGAGAGAGTGAGAGAGA